CTAGTGGATGCAGATTTAATTGCAAACGGTTCCATTGAAAGTTTTTAAAAAGGAAAAAAATTTAATAGATGTAAACCCTCTGATATCTTTAGGTTTCCAAATTGCACATTTCGAAAGCTTCCTGCAAAACGAAAACATCACCATATCAGAGGATATTAGGGAATATATTAAGTCCCTAGTGAAAAATCCTGTACTGGAGAACGTAACAAACGATGACTTGAAGAACCTTATTGAAAGATACCAAAATTATAAAGTAGTGACTTTGTCTGGAAAACATGGCAAAACGGCCCAATTTTATCTTTCATATACGACCCTTATTGATTACTTCTTACTTATATCAAGGGGCGTGTGCGAAGGCGATTTAAATATTTTTAAATATGCTTTATTGAAAATGATCGATGTTTTTTTCGCAATGAATCAGCCAAATTACTCAAGATGGGGCCTGGTATATCTTCAAAACTTGTTAAATGTTGAAAATACCCACCTTGGATTGTCCAACAGCTTGATATTTGGTATTAAAAGAACACAAAAACCATTTTCGAAACAGCCCGTAGATCTGACTTTGGAACAAGAATGATAGCTTGCAACCAAATACATGATTTATTGGCATGCTTTAATGAAAGAATAAATCCATTTACTCTTGTCATCGATAAGAACTGTTCATTTAACGTTTCAAGTGGTAGGGCAGCGTCCGCGGATGTGGCTATTTTTTTATTAAATATGGAACAAATTGGAAAACAAAGACGTCAGCAGTTTATTCAAGAATGTAGTGAAAATGAAAGCAGGTTTGAACAGAGTATACCAAGAGGCAAAATATTAAATTTTAGTAGCATTTCAAAAAAACAGACCAAAAGTAATGTGAAAGTTGACAGTTTGAAGTTACAGAAAAATTTATTCGGAAGGCTTCTAGGAATTTCCTTACATGAAGATTTACATCTAGACATTGAGAAGGTTTTGTCGTACCCTTTGACGCCTGTTCCCTTATCTCTCTGTCACTTGGATGGATCGGTGTATAAAACAGACAAATCAGCGCTGTTAAGACTTTTGGAGAATAAAGTTACTATAGAAAGTCCACCGAAGTTCACAACAATTCTTTTTGATGCATTTTTCGTACTCCATCAAATGCGTAACCTTCCTAAAACTTTTGGAGGCATTTCTCTTGCCATTCTTACATATATCATTAATTTTGACCGTGATTGATATCATTTTTGATTTTCATAAACGACCATCAATAAAAGACAATGAGCATCACCAAATACGTGGAAATTTTGACTCAAACGATTATCATATATTAGGTCCTGACCAAACACGACCGGCAGATTTCTGTACAGAACTAAGGAATATCAAATTCAAAGAGGCTCCGGTTCAATTTATGATACGAAACTGGAGTGGTCCTGACGCGGAAAAAGTAATACTCACCAGGACAATCTGCTTGAATTATGATCGGTGCTACGAGTATAAATTGTCGGCCAATATCTGGACGGCAACGGTTAACTATAATTTAACTTGTAACGGTCATGAAGAGGCCGATACGAAAATAATATTTCATGTTTGCAACCTTGAATTGAAATCAAATATTTTGATAAGATGTTCTGATACTGACGTGTTAATAATAATGCTGGCCAATATGAAGTTTTTGAAAACAAATTTAACTATATGGATGCGGCTTGGGGTTGGTAGCAATGTGAGGAACTTGAATGTTACAAAACTGTATCAGCAATTGGGTGAAACACTAAGTTGCTCGCTGGGGGGATTTTATGCTCTGATCGGATGCGACCAGAATCCAGCATTTTGTAGAAGAGGAAAGCAGCGGCCATACAAATTGCTGGAGGCTTCAACGCGTTTTCAAAATTCTTTCAACATTCTGGTTGATTCTTCTGAACCCATAATACCACAAACATAATATGCAAAGTTGGAAGAATTTGTTTGCCATATGTATTGCTTGAAAAACATGAGAAATGTTTGCTAAAGTGTAGGTACCAATCAAAAAATTCGAAGGAGCAAATTATGAAACACTTGATGGACTTCGACGCGTCGCCCATTCCAGCCTGTCAAGCAGAGCTTCGTCAGCATTTGTCACGAAGTAGATACATAGGTCATATGTAGCGACATGCACATCTGAAACACCCGTTACAAATATTACCCTGCAGTCCAACTGAAAGCGGCTGGAAGTTGGAGGAAAATAAATTAGTATTTAATTGGTTTGATGGTCCAGCTTTACCTACAGGAGTTATCAGCGATATTGTTATAGGTAATTCCAGAAAATGATATGGCGTCAACAACAACAAAAATACATGTTGCAAACAGCTTCTATTTAATCATATACATATATACTTTCAGATCGTGAAGATAGTGATGAAGACGATGATGAGGAAATTTCCAATACGGACGTCAAATACGAATCCGATACGAGTGAGGATGATGGCAGCGACAATGAAGACCTTGGCGTAGAAGAAACTACGTACGAATACACTCCTATAGTTTTTGAAGATACTGATTTTGAAAGTGGAACTGATTAGTTGGGCAGGTGACACACTGGAGAAATAGGTTTCATGGAACTTGTTGCAAGAAACTGGAAATTTGTTTCAAAATCACACGACACATACATTCAAATGAGACGGAGCACACTGGCGTTTCTGAAAAAGAAAGCAGAAATTATTTCGCCAGTGTGCTCTCTGCCTCATTTGAATATACAGTGAGGATATAAAGTCCTTCGCCCCCCCCTCTAACTTTTGAACCGCTCGGTATATTGTAACGAAATTTTGAGTGATGATATGTGACTAGATTCTCCATGTTTTGAAAAACAAATGACAGCTTCAGCTGTCAAAATGACAGCTAGGCGCAGTTTTGAAACGTTTTTTTGAATAGAAGGCGGTGTCGAATGATATATCGTTTTAAAGGTTCCTCTATTCTCAATTAAATCCCCGAATCTGAAAACATTTGGTTTAGCGGTTTTCAAATGATGACGAAAAAACAAAGGCTTGTTTTGCTCATAAACACTCATAAAAAAAAATTAAAAAATTTTTTTATCGGTTTTTTATTCATTGTTTTTTTTTTTCAGTAATAATAATAACGTCATGACATTGGTAACTTAAATAATGAAAAAAAAAGTGATAAAAAAAAATATATTTTTTTTTTTCATGGGTGTTTATGAGCAAAACAAGCCTTTGTTTTTTCGTCATCATTTGAAAACCGCTAATCCAAATGTTTTCAGATTCGGGGATTTAATTGAGAATAAAGAAACCTTTAAAACGATATATCATTCGACACCGCCTTCTATTTAAAAAAACGTTTCAAAACTGCGCCTAGCTGTCATTTTGACAGCTGAAGCTGTCATTTGTTTTCCAAAAAAATGGAGAATCTAGTCACATATCATCATTCCAAATTTCATTGCAATATACCGAGCGGTTCAAAAGTTAGAGGGGGGGCGACGGACTTTATGTCCTCACTGTATGTATCGTGTGATAATGGAACAGATTTCCTGTTTCTTGCATCAAGTTTTTTGAGACTTATTTCATTTCTGCAGTGTGTCACCTGTTTTGTTATAAATCTTTGTTAAAACAATTTAATAAAAGTGATGTAATATTTATTTTTTTTCAAATGTATTGCTTACAATCCGTTATGAGTTATGTGTTATATCTACCCAAAAAAGAACTTAAATGATCATAAGCCGTCAATGCTCGTAGAGATAGGTATGCAATTTTGCAAAATAGAATTATTCCACGTAGTAAATAGCAAACAAATCTGAAATTAATGTGCGTAATTTGTTATTTGGAGTATTATTCACCTTTACCTACCTATACCAGGTGCCCAGGTGGATTATGATCCCCGTCAAAATTAGTCTTCTTCATCTCCGTCTTGCACTCCTCTTTTCTCATTTAGAAAGTTTTGTATTTTTAAAAATGTTATCAATGTGTTCTATTTTTCTCATTAGTACCATTGCAAGACGGTGTAAAATGATTTCTCATTCCCTCATAAGATAACGCATTGACCTCCGTCTTGCAGCCCGTCATCCCGCCACAGGACGTCTTGCATCAGTATCCAGTAGCTATTTTGCATTCAAGCTTTAATCTAAATTGACAATAGAGTGGTGTAAAATGATATTTGACCCCTCTCAAAAATGGACACTTTCTATCTAATATTGCAACCCATCACCCCCATGAAAACGTTTTGCATAGGTTGATCCAATTCTGTTTGTGTACAAATCAACTGAATAATTGAATGCAAGACGGTGTATAATTATACATTTTCCTCGTCTATGACGACATCTTCTTAAACATTTTTTTCAGCTAAATCTCCCACCCCCAACTATTTCCTTGCACAAGTGCGTTTCAGCACCATGTTATCTAACATGATAACAATGCAAGACGGTGTAGAATGATTTGATAAAATAGGCCTCGTATCCCGTACTATTGTGGATATACCATTTTCAATATGTCGCCTAATTCTGGCAGCGTCTCCGATTTGCCTTGGCCTCTAGTTTACAGCTGGCTCTGATACACTTGATTGATACTTGATTCCGTATCTCAGCTCTAAGGCGCCTACAACAGCATAATCAATTTATTTTATCTCAAAAATATTACTAAAGTTTCGAACGTCTTTCCTCATAATGCCAGTACCAATGCTTTTGTGGTTCATTTCATCTATACGCAGTAGCAGCGGCTTCAAACTTTCGTTATATTTATAAAACGTCCACGATGTTTCGCCACCGATTTGTGGTTTCAGGTGACCACGAACTAGAGGTTTTGTCTTTTAACAGCTAGTTGCAGACTGGAAATAAATAATTAATCCTAGCGTCACTTCTGCCGCGTTTAGGCTACTCATGTAGATGTACTCTTAGAGGTAAATTATATTTAGGTATTAAATAAAATTTGACTGAAACAAAACAATTTGTTCAGCCAAAAAAGGAAGGCAAATGATGTCGAAAGTATAAACCCTCGTGAAACAAACAGTACATTATTATTAACCTTTTTAAAATTGACAGTTTTTTTGTCAAATTGTTGACACAAGCAACAAAATTCAAATTAGTGAAAACATGCAATCTGAAAATAGTAGAGGAAATAGTGCATCAGGAGATGCGGATTCACCTTGTTCTTTACGTGAAACCAGTCCAAGAAAAATGATGGGTGAGTATAATCCTGTATAATTGATGACTTACCAAAATTGACCATAATTTTTTTAAGATCTTGTAGCACTAACAGGACCATTTGGAGATAACTTTTCACTAAAAGAAATATCATCTACAGAAATGTTATTTAAAGCCCAAGCGTCCAATTCGTCTACTGACAGTGAAGATTCAGATCCTGATATTCTAAAAATAGAATATTTACAGCGGTTAGCACTTATCAGGGAACAAATGGCCACACTCGACATTGCAAATATTGATTACTATCCTAGTTGTTTTAATAGTTCTTATTTTCCAAATCAATGCACTATAACAGAATTACATGATAGTGATAATGAAACAAATACCTGCAGTCCAAGAACAACTGATGCTATAGAAGTAGAAGATAATATTAGAGATCCAGAGGAGAATAATGAAAACGAATGTTTGATTGATGATTTTAAAGATGGCAAAACTATGAATCTCAATACAAATGAAACAGAAGAGAAAACTAACCCCAATGCTTTATTAATAGAAGAACTAGCCAAAAAAATATCTGAAGTAGAAATTGAAAATATTATGCACAGAAATGACCCTAATACATCTATGCCAGAAGATGTAATAAAGGTATCAGCGGAACCAGGACCTGAATTAGAAATTAAACCTTTTGAGAATGACCCGGATGCGACTGAAGAAAATATTAACCAAAGCGATGTAATAATTGAAGAATCGGCAGAAAAACTTTCTGAAATGGAAGTTAAAAGCGTTTTGAGCTTTGAGAATGTTTACAAATCAGAATCTCCTTCGGAGTTGATGGAACTAAATTACAATCCTCCAAAAAAGAAGCCTTGTATACGAGACTCCACTCCAAGAATGTATATATTCGATAGCGCTTCAAACATGCCAGAAAATAACGTGTTTAAATTTAGAAATGGATCACAAGAACACAAAGATAGTAATCTTTTACCAAAAATTAAATCTGAATGCACCTGTGGCATGAAGCCTGTAGAGACTATAGATGTTTCTTGTGGTCACGAATATGGTGGTAAGTGTCACTGAATGAAATTATGGTAGCCAAAGATAATAATTCTAAAATTTGTTTGTTTTTCATTTAATATTTTTGTTCCACAGATCTGGAACATATTTCGCCAAATTTAGCTAATAGGGATGATTTGTATGTAAAATTTCTGGATACCACCGAGAATTCTCCATCTTCAAGGAGCTATCAAAGTGATATTACAGAGGGAATAACTACTGTCGAAAGTCCACGAAACAAATCTTATAAGAGGCGGTTATTTTTAAGAAGTGCAAGCAATAAGGTATGTACAGGGTGAGTCACTATATTTTGACACCTACCTGCAGCCGTAATTATTACAGGTGATAGGTAAAAGGTGTAAATACAAAAGTTGTAGCATTTTATCTGAACCGCCAGAATTTTTAATTAGATTGAACAAATGAGCAACACAAAGTAAAAAAATATGTCGATGTTCACTTTTTTCAAATGGAATGCACTTTATTTTCTTTCAGATTCTTTAAGTTCTCGTTTTTCTGATTCAGATTATGTAATATGTTAATGTTTCTTCCAATAGTTTTGGAAATATCTGGAGTTTGGTTATTCAAAGACCTATTCACGTATTATCCGTTCACAATCCGATGTCCACATGTAGGTACAGGTAAAATAACCTTTCAATGCTATTTGATAGGGAAAGGTAATAAATTTACCTGCACCTGTGGACATCGGATTGTGAACAGGATATATCAGAATGTTTTGTAACAGGTGACAGGTAAATCAAGGTAAAATGTATTTAAAAAAAAACTACTATCTTTGAATAACTAAACTCCAGATATTTTCAAAACTATTGAAAAAAACATCGACATCTTATATAATTTGCATCAGAAAAACGAGAACTTCAAGAATTTGAAAGAAAATGAAGGGCATTCCATTTGGAAAAAGTGAGCATCGACATGTTTTTTTACTTTGCGTTGCTCATTTGTTCAATCCAATCAAAAATTCTGGCAGTTCAGATAAAATGCTACAACTTTTGTATTTACACCTTTTACCTATCACCTGGAATTACGGCTGCAGGTGGGTGTCAAAATATGGTGACTCACCCTGTACCTACTTGATCAATATTTGAACAAAACCATACACACAAAATCCTTAATTTTGATTTTTAGGTAAAACCAATTGATAAAATGACTCTTTGGGAAGAAATCAGAACCATGGAAGCCATAAAAAATAAAAATGCACCAAAAGTTTCGAATTCGCAAGAAAGTTTCTTTAAAAAAATTTTAATCCGTAAACCTAATCCAATACTACCAATAGACTTAGAAGCAATAGGCAGTTTAGATATCCCTAGAAAATCCACTCGTTCACGCCGTTTTCCATCTATCACTAAAATATCCAAGTTTTGTTCGTCACTATTCAGCAAGAGATCTGAAAGTGTCGTTGAAGAAGAATCAGAAGCGAAAAAAGTGAGCAAAGCAGTTCAAACAGGAAATAGCCATAAGACGACGCACCATAACAAAGAGCTCTTTCCAAAAGTCGCAAAAACATTATTGGACGTTAGAAAAGAAGAGCGTATAACCTTAGATAGTCATACACCTAGCTATGAAGAACATTCGGATTATTCTTATCAAGAAGACGACCTTGAAGCCTACTTTCAACATAAATGTTTTTTTTGTTTTTGTTTTTAGAAAGTTTTTATTTTGGAAATAGACAAAGTATAAGGATAAACATAATAAAATTCTATTTTTTCATCTGAATTAATTCAAATTTGGATATGATTCATTCATCCTTATAGCTGATCCAAAACTAAATCCGTTGCATATCATCAATGACACCGACGGCGTTAAAATCTAATTTGCTGCGGTAGGCGCATTGTGACGTGCAACGGATTTAGTTTTGGATCAACTGGTGGGTAGTTTTCAAATAGCTATTTATGTACCAAGGGGATTATAATCTTAATATCCCCGTGGTGCATACAATGCTTTATTTTCTTCTCAATACAATGTTCTTTCATCAATTTATTATTAACAAAATCAGTTAAATTTGTGACAGAATATTGTTTTGTGTTTTGACATGTACCTGTAACTGTGACCTGTACATGTACCTGTGACCTGTACCTAGGAATGAAATAAATTAATCTAATATATAAAATTCTGATGTCACAGTTTTAGTTACCTTCGTCCTCCAAAACGGCTTTACCGATTTTTATGAAATTTTATATGTATATTCGGTATGTCTGAGAATAGGTTTTAAGCTATTTTTTATACCCCTAAGTGATAAGGGTGGTCCACCCCAATTTTTTAAAAAATTTCTTGCTTCTCACCACTACATAACTCAACTTATTTTTGTTTGTTTTGTTTTGTTTGTTTATTCCATTCAAATTATGTAAAATTTTAATTTTAGGTGATTTCTGATCCAGAGAGTAAACATTAGTTTTCTTCAACCAAGGCCAAATTCACCATTGAAAAAAACTGAATTTAATTCATCTACTAGATACGTTAACACAACATTTAATAGGTATTTAATAATTCATAGGCGGTACGAAGTTCGCCGGTTCAGCTAGTATATCTATAAATATCTCATAAGGCAAGGCAACGGTGGTGGTCGTGTGGGTTAACGCGCTGGACTACATGGGAAATGTAGTTGGTAGACCGGGTTCGAATCCTGGCTAGACCGAAATAGCTATTTATGTACCAAGGGGATTATGTAGATTATAATGCCCGAAGGCGAAACTAGCCCGAGGGCCTATGGCCCGAGGGATATATTTCGCCTGAAGGGCATTATAATCTTGAAATCCCCGTGGTGCATACAATGCTTTATTTTCTACTCAACACAATCTTTTTTCATCAATTTGTTATTAACAAAATCAGTTAAACTTGTGTGACAGAATATTGTTTTGTATTTTGACATGTACCTGCACCTGTGACCTGTACCTGTACCTGCGACCTGTACATAGAAACGAAATAAATTAATATATCTATAAACATCTCATAAGGTAAGGCAACGGTGGTGGTCCTGTGGGTTAACGCGCTGGACTACATGGGAAACATTGATGGTAGACCGGGTTCGAATCCTGGCTAGACCGAAAATTATTTTCAGTCAGACATTTAGTGGCTGCCTAGGGTAAAGTGCAAATTAATAGAACAACAACAACAAAAACACCTTAAGGTATTATAAGCGGGCGTTATAGATCATAACGCCCGCAAAAGCGGGCGTTATGGATCAGGTTGTTATAGGTGTGTTAACGTATTTCGTTTCCTAGGTATTATGGATCTATAATAGTAAAGTAGAAAATAAATTATTTTCGGTCAGACAGTGGCTGCCTAGGGTAAAGTGCAAATTATTAAAACTACAAGAACAAAAACACCTCAGGGTATTATAGGCGGGCGTTATAGATCATAACGCCCGCAAAAGCGGGCGTTATGGATCAGGTTGTTATAGGTATGTTAACGTATTTCGTTTCCTAGGTATTATGGATCTATAATAGTTAAGTAGAAAATAAAATAATATAGGGAATATGTTTTTTTTTGCATTTTTAAAGGGCTTTGTAATAGATATTCTACCTTCACCAATACCATAGGCGATTTCTCGATAGCGAGTGTGTGCACAGTCTTTGCACACCCAGCCTCTGGCAGCATTGTCTCTTTCTCTGTTCTCTCGCCCTTTTCCTTACTGCGGTCCCTCTTTTCGGTCTCGTTTCTGCATCGCTGTTCTAAGAAAAGTTTATGGTTCGTCGTGGACTACTCGACGACATGAGTACCTATCGATTCAATTTCCCTCGTCCAGTTGACTGTAGAGAATCTGTAGTGGAAGACGTGTTTCGGGCATGTGGACAAGATGACCTGTCCAGCGAAGTTGGTGCTTAATGATAATAAAAATATTCCTTCGTCGGTCCTGCCATTTAACTAATCCGTAGGATCCTTCTTAGGCAGCGCTGGTGATATTCTTCTATGCTTTTTATGTCTTCTGTAGGTGTTGGTATTGCAACTGCATTGCAAACGCGAAATTTGGCCTTAGCGCTGATGTAATTGTTGAAGACTCTCTCTAGAAGTCGCCCAAACGTTGCGCTAGCACCCTTCAAGCGATGTCGGATTTCAGCGTCAATAGTTGCATTCGCTGACAGAGATGGCTCCCAAGGCATGATTTCTGCAAAGAATGGTCATTTATAGTTATATCTGGGGCTTGGTGATTAGTATCCGGTGCGGGTTAGTGCAGAATCTGCTTCTTGTCAAAGTTGACCTCTAAGCCGATTCTCCTGTATGCCTGGTTGAATAGTTTGATAATTGCCTTGACTTGAAGTTCATCGATGTCGTCGATACTTTCGTCCTGGCTCGTAATCTGTTTAGGTTCAATAAGCCGCCATCAAGTCGCTACAGGATCTCCACTCCTGACGGCAGCTGATTCCCAACAAGGTGAAGTATGGATCCTATAAATAGAGAAAATAAACTGGGTGCAATAACACAGCCCTGTTTAACGCCTGCAGTTATTATTTGAAAATACTCTTCTTGTCGACCTTATCGTTTCTTAGGATGGCTGCATTCATATTATCATGCAGCAGGCGGAGTATCTGGATGTAATTTCGCAGACACCCAACCTTTGCCAATATCTTCCAGAGAACTTCTCTTTTGACCGAATCAAATGCTTTCACTAAGTCTATGAATCTGGCCGATAATCGCGAAAAACCTCGAAATTTTCGGACTCTTTCTGGTTTTCTGGTCATATCTTGCAAACGACGCATCGTGCGGAAAATGTTACGGTATTTAAAGTTGAAGAACATAAAATTCTGCATCGAATGACCACCCTAATCTTGAATTTTAGATGACAGTAATTTCAAAATAACCACTCTACTTCCAAATCTTTGAATAAAAGTTGTACTCAACTAAATATTTAGTTCAGTGAGCACCAACATTTTAAATTTGAATCAATATATACGCATATACTGATAATTTCTTCATTTTCCCTCTAAACGCTTATTTGACAAAATGAAGGTCTCCAATAATAAAAAGTCTGTGCCTATCATTATAAACCCCCCTATTTCTCAAACCCCACTTGTCAATCCTAAATAACTTCCTCCTGCATTTTGTGTAAGCCTGACTTGAGGATTTATAAGTATTATGTATGTATTTAGATGTAATAGGAAGTAATCAGTGCCCATAGAGGGCGAATTTGTTATCTGGATTTCTCTTACATTTATCTTGTACTAAAAACCATGTTATTTGTACCTCGGTTGGGTCTAAAGCCACACTGTGTTTCTGGGAGGTTCTGTTCGGCAGTTGGAATTAGACGATTTGATAATATCCTGGCAAGTATCTGCCCCGTAACAGAAAGTAAAAAGATTCGTCTGTAGTTTCCATACTGAGCCTTGTCTCCCTTTTTAAAAATGTCATTTATAGAGACATCTCTAAGTTCGGCAGTTATGGTCTTAGTCTCAGTAATCCATATTTTATTCATTGGGATGCGGGTTTGGTCACTTGGTATGGGTCCTTTTTGTTCAAAGAATTCAACAGGAATGCTGTCAGTAACAGCTAACGTATTGTTCTTTAGTCAGATTGCCTTTTCAACCTCCTCTTATCTGGGAAACTCGCCACCTTACTTGATCATAGCTCAATAAATGTATATCCGAATCCGACTAGAAATACCTTTCTAATACCGCATGAATATTTGTGGTTACATCAGGACGACGCAAATCCCAAATCATGCAATAAACGTTCGTCAATATTTCAAAAGAGTTTTCTTAAAAATAGATGGATTGGTAGAAGTAAAGCTATTGAATGGGCGCATAGATCCCCGGATCTTACTCCATTACTGGATTATTTTCTTTGGAGGAGGGCATCCATAAGTGAGGTATCTTTTTTTTACCTTGACTGCGCGCGCAACTATGAGTTACAGGTGCACGCCCAATGAGAAACGAGTTACTCAGACGCTTGCGTTATATTTGCATTCAAGGTCATATTTGCATTCAAGAGCTCAGTAGTAATAGTTTCTTCTTTTTTTGTAACTTGTAATTCAACAAAGAGCAAACTATAATACTTTATTACAACTGAACTGGCGATAATAACAGACAATTTAAAGTTCTTCTTTTGTCTAATTTAAGACATTGTAAGACACTCCACATATATCACTTTTTTAATGGGTATAATGTTCGATTTGTATTGTCCGTATTTCTTCAGAAACAAAACAATCTGGCTACTCTGCAACCTACTAATTGGCCGCGCATGTCGTGTTCTATTACTTTCTAACTTGTACTCATTACATTTAAGCTATCTTTTTCTATTTATACGACACTGGTCAATTAATTAGGTACCTATAGTTTTGAGATGGTTTTGAGTTTTGACTAATCTCAATGGTTTTAACGCACGAAAAGTTGTTCAGGTAAAGCAAGTGAACAAATTATCGCTGTAATTCTCTCTAGTTAAACTAATGGAGAAAATAATTTTCGCTGTAATTATGAAAAATCGTCACTTGTCTTCTGGGATTTTTAACACATGAGCGGAATAATCCGTATCACATAAAAAGTAAAAAAATTAAAAGACTTCTAGCAAAATTGCCTATAAGATTTCCTATATCTTTGCTGCGATATTATTGTATTCTATATTCAAAATACAGATAGATCAGGCATCCTTTGTTCATTCTTGTCCTGATGCAAGTTTTTCAATATTTTCAATTCACTAAAAGGATCTCTGGATTGCGCAACAGATACAGGTAGGGTAAGGTGGGTGAAGTAAAA